GAATCATTAATTAGAAAGTTTGATATCAATAATTTAAATAAAAAAATTTGAAATTTTTTTTGACTTACTAAATTGATCATTAAAATCAAAATCGCAATAAGGTAAATTAAAGTAACAACATGATAGGACTTTAAAAAATAAACAAACATAAACTTTAACAACACTTTTGCAATATTTTGTACCTGCCATGAAACTTGGCCAAAAAATTGCGAAAGACTACAGGAGTCTAAAACTCTTAATACCGATGCCAAGAATGATTATACTTAGCTTGACTACCTTGTGATCATCATCTCTAGCAAAGGTTTCATTGTGAAGTACTTAAATTAATTAGGTTAGAGCTTTTTCCACTTTTATGTAAAAATTGAACTAGAAGTTACAGTCTAATCAAAGATAGATTATATCAAACCTTAATGATCCAAGGTATCAGATCTGATACACGCATTTTAAACCACTGTATTTTTTTTTAATAAATAAATATTTTTATTTATTAAAAAAAACACCAATTGTTGCAAATATGAGGTGTGGACTTTCGATTCTGTATAAATAGTTCTTTTTATTTGGGTCAGTTTGATAATGTGAACATTTAAAGTAGCAAATGTTAAAAACGGGGAAAGTGATGTTTTTTGAAGTATTTTTTGACTTTTATTTTAATTTTTTATTTTATCAATTTCTATGCCTTTTTTTGGATAATTCTTAAATTTTTAAAGATCAATTTTTTTACTTACTTTTATGTAAGCAAATATGCATTGTGATGATGGAAACTATAGAATAAAGGCATTTGAATAAAAGTGAAAATTACTTTATTTGTTCGTAATTTTATATTTTATTACGTTTTTCTATATGAATTAAAAAATAATAATAACTGTCTTTGATGTTTTTAACCATGTATTTGAATGGGAAAAGTGATTTCGAGCACACAGTTTAATATTAAAAATGACGCAGTCAACAGTGTTAATGAAGAAGAAAGTAAGAATCAGTATGAACTTAGTTGAAATTAGTATGACAATAAGTCTTCAGCTAATATAGCATCAAGATCAATCAATTAATCAATTCACTAAGTTATATATTCTGGTAAAAAGATCTAACTTCCACGGTCGTTACAAATAGTTATAAAAACTAATATAAAGTAAAAACCTCTTTGATGATATAAAACATATTATAGACACATATAGTTATAGTGATAATAAAAATAGAAATAAATTAACAAAACAACACTAATAAAAATAATTAATTGTATAATAATAAGAATGACAATAATAATATTACCAGTAAGTATAATTAACACTCAATAATGATTAAAATAAAAACATGACAATAATAAATACAATATATATATATATATATATATATATATATATATATATATATATATATATATATATATATATATATATATAAATATATATATATATATATATATTTATATATATATATATATATATATATATATGTATATATAACGGAATTGTTAAATAAATATTTAATAGAAGGCTGTTCATTAATTATGTCAACAAAAAAAATAAAAACCAGTAACTAAACGAATTAAATCAATACAATCTTCCATACAACAATCAATTATATATACATAGTTAGAGTTACAAACAGTAATAAACTGACAAAATGTAACTAAAAACGATGACATAAAAACGATTATCGAAAAAAGACTACAAAGACTCAGTAAATATAATAATTTTAGCAATATAATAATATTAATTTTAATATAATAATAACGACATATGAATATAACAATAAAAAGACACATTAATATAAAAAATGTATTCATTAAACAAAATTTAAAAGTTTTTTTAGTTCTTTTCTTTTAATGACATTATTGTTTCTGGTATATTCTGGGTAACCCAGCCTGGGTTCAGCGAGTTTTTTGTGTCGGTTTTAGTGTGGGTCCCGTGTTGATATCCCGAACCATCGTGAAACAAATTAAATACACGCTTTCCAATATTACAAATACATCAAAGTTTATTTATATCAGCAAATTAAAAATCTGGGAATTTAGATTATAGATTTATCTATGACATAGATATACATGGACTATGTATTTGTTTATAAGAAATGTTTTATATGAACGTTTATATGTTTTATATGAAAGGTTTATATAAAGTATTTTGCATAATCTATAGATTATGTAAGTACATATATGTACTTACTATAATGTAGTTATAGTACGATCATTATTTAATAATTTAATCTGATGGAACTTAGTAATAAACAAAATAATGATTAACATATGAATCATATGTTAATCATTATTTTGTATTACACGAGCATCCGTATTTCATCAGGTAATCCATTGCATGTTTCGTCAGATAACCAAGTCCCATCAGATAACCATAATACTTTATTAAAACTTATATTTGTATTATCTTAACATATTTAATATTTAGGCAATAGCTGTTATCAGAAAGCATTAAATAAATTTAAAAATTATAATGGCAGCATTTAATGGGAACGTTAATTTCAAGACGTGTTCAGATAGAACAAAAAGAAGAAGAATTAGATCAAGAGTCTCAAACGTACTTACCGAGTTATTTCAGAAAGATAAGTTCGAAAGTATTTCCACGCTAGATAATCCTGTTATTACTTCTAAGACTGTGGATGACTTAAACTTTAGTAATTGTAAAAAAAGTGTTGATCATCATGCAAACGAACGAAAAAATCCAAATGAACCTTTTACTATTTTTGATAGACCTCAAAGAGAGTTTTTAGAAATGTTCTCTGATAATATTGGAAGTAAGTCTAGAGATGATTTTAATTAGAGTAGATGTGATTTAGAGGCTGATGAAGTTAACAGCACCCTAAGTGATGATAATGATAATAATAATGAAAATGATGACTGTACACTAGTAAATAAAATTCGAGATTGGGCAATAACATATCGTATATCTCATTCAGCTTCGGGAGGTTTATTACACATATTGACTCCATTACACACTCATCTTCCTATTGATTCAAGAACCCTTTTAAATACTCGTCGAAATATTGATATCAAGCATGTTGCAGGTGGAGAATATTATTATTTTGGGGTGCAGTATTGGATACAAAACATTTTAAAATTCAATCAGCCTATTTCTCAAGTAGATCTTTTACATATTCATATTAACATTGACGGTACACCACTTTTTAACAGCAATTCTATTTCTTTATGGCCGATTCTTGGTTCAAAAGAGTGGCCATCAGGTGGAACTTTTCCTATTGCTATATATAGTAGCACTAAAAAAACTACTTCTCTTGATGAATATCTGAATGACCTTGTTTCAGAAATGAAGAGCTTAAAGCAACATGGCTTTTTATTTGATAATAAAACTTACATAGTGAAAATTGATGCTATAATTTGTGATACACCAGCAAGGGCTTTTATTAAATGTATTAAGCCTTACTCTGCTTATAATTCATGTGAGAGATGTATGCAACGTGGCAAATGGTGTAACAAAATCAAACCTCCCAATATAACGGCAGCACTAATTACTGACTTGATCTTTATTGAGCGTCATTATTCTGAGCATCATGTAGGTACTTCACGATTGGAGGAGTTGGGTTGTGGTATGGTTACAGAATTTCCGTTAGATTATATGCACATTGTGTGTTTAGGTGTTATGCGTAGGATTCTGTTTCAATGAATTCATGGGCCGCGTGGAGATTGTAAGCTATCTCAGTTACAGTTATCCATGATATCTGACAACTTAGCTGTGATTCGTAAACACATCCCCAGAGAGTTTTCACGAAAACCACGATCTCTTTCAGAATATAAAAAATGGAAAGCGACTGAATTAAGACAATTTTTATTGTACACTGGGCCTGTTGACTTGAAAAATGTTTTAAAAGACACCGTTTATTCTAATTTCCTTGATTTTCAAAGTTGTATGGTGAAAATCAAATTGTTTATGATATTCATTCTTTAATACATTTACCAAGTGATGCTAAACATTATGGTGTTCTTGATAATGTATCAGGATTTAGATATGAAAGTTACCTTGGGAGATTAAAAAATTAGTTCGCAAACCTAAGAATCCAACTGGCCAAGTGGTACGTCGATTTATTGAAGGGCACTGCAACATCAATAAAGACACTTCGAATAAAAAAGATCCAATTTTGAAGAAAATTCATTTAGATGGTCCTATACCGGTTGAATACCGAAAATATATCCAGTTCAAACAGTTCTATGGAACTGATTATTTTGTTTCTACATCCATTGGAGATAATTGTTTTAAAATTGAAAGTAAGTTAGGAATTGTAAAAAATATTCTGCATAATTCCACTTTTGCTGAACCTAATAAAGCTTTAGTTGTGTTAGAAGAATTTGAAGATGTAGAACTATTTTTTTCAGATCTAGTTAGTTCGATTTCGCTTTCAATTTATTTTGTGACCAAACTTATTGGCATAAGGCAAACTTTTTCTGTTGCTTTAGTTACGAAGTATCTTTTACTTTCATATAAAGAAGGATTTGTCGCTTTACCTCAAATGCATTTTTCATAATTTTTGATAAAGTTATTTTTAAGTTATTCTAATGTTTTACAGTATAGTTATTTTAATGTTTTACAGTATAGTTATTTTAATGTTTTACAGTATAGTTATTGTAATGTTTTATATACATTTTATTATTCCGTAAATAATTAAATACAAAAAAGTTTCTACTTTGACAGGTTTCGATGTGATATTATTTTAATTTATTTGCTTTTGATTTAAAAAAATTATTATAAAAAAAAAATGAGCTTTATGATCACATGATTATTTATTATTTAATTTTGGCATTTAGTTTGCTATTTAAATATGTATGCTATTCTCGAGTATATTGAGACTAAAGAGATTGATTTTCTGCCAATCAAGTGGATGGTTGAACGACTCAACTGGGATGTTAAAAATTTAATAAAAAATAAAACTCTGTTAAGTTTTTACTATCCACCAGTAAAAGCAGCAAACAAAGTGTTGAATGCAAAAAAAATATGCAGTAATCCAGAAGAACACTGGCATTTATACAAAGTAAGAGTTCTAGGAACTGCAAGAAAGTTAAATTTTTAGAGATTCATGTCTCTCTTTTAATATGAAATTGAAAGTTCCTATTGGGACTCTAAATTAGTCATATACAAAATGATTTGGTTATTGTAGAAAGGGGATATCTTCTTTCTCTCGTTCCCAAAATATTTTGTCTGTGTATATTTCCTACAGCTAAAAATGTACATTGATGCAAGAAATTAAAAGATAAATTATTTTAAGCGCAATACCATTGTTCTTTAAAAATATTTAAATATACCTATCAGTGTACACAAAATATGAGTAATTTGTTCTAGACACTCTTAAAAGCGCAAAAGAAAAAACAAAGCAGGCTGAAGATACATCAAATGTTGATTATGATACGGATGATTCTAGTAACTGTAGAGATATGGAAACACGAAAAATTAGGTTTGTGAATTCAAGTAAAGTTTATTTTACTTTTCAAAATATACTTGTTAGTTTCATTTTTAGCTTGATTTTTCTATATATGAGTATATATGAATATGAACAATATATATTAAATCAATTGATATGAAATTATATATGAAGGATAAAATCAATTAATAAAATTTTTTAAATTTATTTTTATTTTATAATTTAAAACATTATTGTTTTCAGAAAAAGAAAACATTCTTTTATCTATGAAAGTGAAGTTGCTGATGATGAAGTTGAAGACAATTTTCAAGAAAGCGAAACAGGGTACGATAAATTAGTTCTATTTGCATAATCTATATAATTTTAAGAAAAAAATTCTAATTAAAAGTTTTAAAATTATAAAAAAAAAATTATTTTTTGATTTTTATTACTTTATATTATCTAATTTTTTCAGGTTTTTTATAGAAGAGAGGTGTGAATATTCTTTAATAGATAGATAGGTAGAATAGTTAAGTGTCTTATAAAATCTGAAAAACTTTATTTGATGATTGCTAAAGTAAATTAAAAAGTTTAATACCCAAAGGCTATTAAAGTTTATATTCATATAATTAAAGGAGGTATACATTGGTTTTAAAGTTTAATTTTTGAGTGAGGTGGACCTGCGAGTAACAGTTTGAAAATTTAATATAGCCTACTATATTTTTATCTATTTTGTTTTCAAATTGTTGTTTCAGAAATACAAACATCTGTAGTATTACTAAACAAACACCACCTGATCACTTGATGGCAATACAGTCAAGCTCAGGGTTGCATATGTCAAAATATCTAAACAATCCACATTCAATACATCTGATAGCGAGCCTGGTATTTTACACCCTGGTGTTTTGTCCAATCAATCAAAAACTATCATGGAAACACCAGTTCACGTGTTAAGTTCGATCAACTCATGTAAGCTAGTTTTCTAAAGTTGCAAATTTCTTTAATTAATAATTGTTTAAAGGTTTTATTAAAATTAGTTTATTGAACCTTTGACTGTATAATTCTTGAATATTAAAAAAATATTAAAAAAAAATTAATAATAATAAAATTAATAAAACTTAGTAATATAATAATTTGTTGCACAGCAAGTGTTTTGCTAACTTAATCTTTATTCTGGCCTATGCATTTATTAATTTGTATTATTGTATTTACATTTAACAATTTAAAAAAATATGATTTAGCTATTCTTTTGGAGAGGTTAATAACAACCCTTGAAGAAATTAAAGAAACTCAAAAGACTCATTCTGCAATGTTGCAGTCTATTATGCGACAAATCAATACACCTCAGGTGGAAGGATTGATTGCGAAACAATTTAAATTATTTGGTAATAAAACTATTTGTTAAGTTAATTCGTGTCTATAGAGACCTGTTTACGACTTGCACGACCACACGTACGAATATCACCGTACGGCAATCCTCGAATATCTAAGAAAATAGTAAATCTTATATATTTTATTTAATAGACGAATATTTTTTAAGTTCAAACTATATTTCTGATAATAACAAATCAGCATGATCTGATATAGATTTTTTTTTCCGGCTGTCTTGGCCTCGATCTTGGGCGTTAGCAAACCAATTACGTAACTCAACCTCTATTACTTTTTGGGTTGCATTAGCTGTCAATGCGTTTCTTTTAACTGCACCTAAACAAAAACGAAAATAATTGTAAAAATTATTATAATTTATGTTTAAGTAAAAATATCTAATTTTAAAAATATTCAAATAAAAATAATTTATAAATTATACATATAATGATTGATATGTGAAAAGCATAACATACCACAGACTACATCAAATATTTCCAGTTTCGAAAAGCATACTTTTCCAGCCTGCCCAGAAAGATTACACAGTCTTCCAAGATTATTAGATAGAATGAATTTCATCATTCTTTTAACGGCATCATCCAAGTGCTAGTCTAACACCCCAGCAACATATTTTATAGCATGAAATAAATAAAATATGTATAGTTATATTGACATATTTTGTTAATAAGCTGATGAATAATCATCTGATGAGTGATTTTAATATGAAGGATAAGCATGGAAAGCAGCCCTTTGGTGTTACTTGCCTTTATAAAATAATAAAAAGTAAGTTTTTATTTAATATATATGTTTGTATATTGCATATATATTTTACACTATATATAAAGTTGGACTAAGGATAAAACCATAAAAATATACCACCTTAAAAACCACAAAAAGTGATATAACCATAAAATAAACCACCTTAAAAGTCAATAGTGCTGGTAAACAGAAAACTTTAGTCCAGCTTTTTTTTTTAATTGTTAAATTGTTGAAAATAAAAACATGCTTCTTTTCTAGCAAACGCATTTAATTTAAACAATTGCAATGAGAAGGATGTCGACGATGCCATTTCAAAGCACCTTAAGCATGCGCCAAAGAGAAAAGGTGGACGTAAATTCACCGAAAAAAATGTTTTACAACGATATTTTGAAATGTTTATGTAACGTATTTGTTTATAAATGTATTAAAATACAGTTATATTTTAAGTCAATATATATTTCTTTAAATTTATTTTATTTTTAGTATATTTTGTTGTTATTATAACTCCAAAGTATAGTTTAAAATAGAGATATCATAACAAGTTATAAGTCATTGTTATACTTTTAGTTTAAGAAAATTTTATTCGGGTTTTTTAATCCATACGGCGAATAATTTTAACGTTGTTTTTCCTATGACTTTTAACTAGCGTGCGAGGTTTAATTGTAACCAAAATGCGACGTCAATGTTTAACATCCATAATGCGTAATATTTTTACGTTATTTTAAATTTAAATATTGCCATGTATTTGACGTCGAAACTTAACAGCATTTAGACGTCAAATCATATTCGATTTTCAACGTCGTAAATAGACGGTGTTTTGTTGTCAGATTTCTACGTCATTCCGTCTTTCAATTCAATACGAGTAATCAACGTCAAAACAACGTTAATTTAACCTAATTTAGACGTTATATTGACGTCGAAATGTTTGCTGGGTTGATGTCCATTTAAGAAAGAAAATTTAAGTTTATTAGCCAAATTCACGTCAGAAACCTGGGTCAATTTGTAGGGAAAAAAATAAAAATGGTAGCTTTGTTTAAACCTTTTTTGTGTGTTTTTTTGAGAAAAAAGTTTAATTATTAGCTTTAGCTATCCTAGATTTAAATGAAAAGACATTCTAAAAACGCAAATAGGAAACCAATAGGATTTTATTGCCTTCCACATGTAGAAGCTTTTCAGAACGAATACAAAAAACCTTTTAAAACAATTGGAGTATATTGAGATCATGATCACACTTGGTCACAATACGACTTTAAACTAAAGTCACTATTTTTATTGAAAAAGATTTATATAAACAAAACTATCTATATACAAAAATAGACTTCACACGGTTTTGTTGTTATTTATAACGCTGCCATTTTTATTTTTTTCCTTACAAACCGCGTTATATGAGTTTGGCTAATACGAACATATTTCAAATGTATTTAGATCTACAATGTAGTATAGAAATAGCATATATGCTTCGTGGGGAGTTTCCTAGAGACATGATATAATTTAAAAATTTACCTACGTTTTACTATTGTTTACCATTTGACAGAAACCTTAATTATTTACAAATATCAACAATTTGTATATATATATATATACTTAACAATCGTTATTCGATCCCAGCGGATTTCAAAATGTGCTTTAAAGCAAATACATGAAGTCATTTGTCATTATTATCGAAGAACACTTCAACAACTCATGGAAGACGATGAGTTTATATTATAGATATAGAATAAAATTTTCAATAGTTTATTTACTATTTGATGAGGTATCAACTGTTCTATAATATAATATACTGAAATATAAATGTATAGTTTAACCAGAAAAAAATGATAGTGCTTAAATTTTAACACATATTTTTTCTGTTACTTTGGGGAGGGGGTACAAAATCTGGTATCATATATAATGGGGGTTTTGCCAAAAATTGACAGAGTTTGACAAAGAGGCGAGGGGTTTAAAAATTGAAAAAAATCACAGACATCAACTATAGACAATCCCTTTTACTAAGTTGGAAAGTTTTTTAATTTTCCTTGAACGATCCATAAATACCAAGAGCTACGCTTAACTCAGACAATCCTTAAGTCGTAGTATTTATCTGTTTCCATTGAGAGTCCAACTTAACAGGATTTTACTGTATATATTTATATATGTATGTATGTATATATATATATATATATATATATATATATATATATATATATATATATATATATATATATATATATATGCAAATATATATATACAGGGCCGCCGAGAGGGAGGGGCCACGGAATCAGTTTGTATATATATATATATATATATATATATATATATATATATATATATATATATATATATATATAAATATATGCAAATATATATATACAGGGCCGCCGAGAGGGAGGGGCCACGGAATCAGTTTGTCCTGGGCGGCAGATATCTAAAGGGCGTCAAATAAAATTTAGGTGTTTAAAAAAAAAAAAATAAAATAGGTCCTTCATATATAATATAGGAAAAATTGGATAAATAAGGGCGCCAATCAGGATTGCTGTCCCAGGCGGCGTTTCAGCTCTCGGCGGCCCTATATATATATATATATATATATATATATATATATATATATATATATATATATATATATATATATATATATATATATATATATATATATATATATATATATATATATATATATATATATATATATATATCTCGGCGGCCCTATATATATATATATATATATATATATATATATATATATATATATATATATATATATATATATATATATATATATATATATATATGTATATATATATATATATATATATATATATATATATATATATATATATATATATATATATATATATTTTCTGATATAGATTTTTTTTTCCGGCTGTCTTGGCCTCGATCTTGGGCGTTAGCAAACCAATTACGTAACTCAACCTCTATTACTTTTTGGGTTGCATTAGCTGTCAATGCGTTTCTTTTAACTGCACCTAAACAAAAACGAAAATAATTGTAAAAATTATTATAATTTATGTTTAAGTTAAAATATCTAATTTTATAAATATATATATATATATATATATATATATATATATATATATATATATATATATATATATATATATATATATATATATATATTTATAATTTCACTTCTTACGTAAAAACTACACAAATTATATAATAATTCCACAAATTACGTAAATGGAATGTCACGATTACGTAAGTAGAATGTCACAAAAGAACATTGTGATAAATATCGCATTAAAAAATTGACCGTAATAAGACTATGTTCCAAATATCGTTCTACGGGGAACGTTGGCAGCAGATAACAAAGATGGAAGACCGCGTTCCACCACTTCTAGAAAGAATTCTATGATCGTCAGATCCGTCAAGAAGGATACCTAGATATCATCAGTTGGGGTACAAAAACAATTATAGCTGCCTGTATTGGAAAAAATAATAAGAAAACGTGCTGTTGAAGCCGGATTGTTTTCTCGACGCCCTGCAAAGAAACCGCTGACTTCACTAAAGAACCAGAAGAAAAGACGCCTGTTTGCTACATCTCTTATTGACTGAAATGTGCAAAAATAGCGAACTGTCCTGTTTAGTGATGAACCGTAGTTCAACATCATTGAAAGCAATGGCATTTGCCGTGTACGTCGACAGGCCAGAATTCGCCTCGATTTACGTTACTGCAATCAGAACGTGAAGCATGGTGGAGGCAATGTAATGATCTGGGGGTGTTTTTCTGCTAACGGTCGAAATACATCAAATCGATTAAATATATATATATATATATATATATATATATATATATATATATATATATATATATATATATATATATATACATATATATATATATGTATATATATATATATATATATATACATACATACATATATATATATATATATATATATATATATATATATATATATATATATATATATATATATATATTTATATTATACTGTATATATAAATATATATATATATATTTATGTATGTATATATATATCTATATATACATATATACATACATATATATATATATATATATATATATATATATATATATATATATATATATATATATATATATATATATAAAACGGGGCCCTTTTTATCCCCTTAAAAACAACAAAGAATTTTTTTTAGAAGTGGCAAAAAACAAAAAGACAGTCGTGCCAGCAGAAATTTTCTGGAACGGTTCAACAAAAAAACAATTCCGTGAGCCAAAATTTGCAAAAAAACTATACTTCCCACGCGTTCGGACTGGCACAAAATATCCTCTTTGGATTTCTTCACAACAGTCTACATTCTGCGGCATTGCTAGCCACAAGCACAAGGCAACAGATTGTAAAAAACAACAAATGCAAAACTTGCGGTAAAACCGAGGACAACATTTACATTTTTGCCTACTGTCCTCCTTCTGTTGAAATATGGGAGTATTTAAACATGTATATAACTCCTTGACATTCCAAAAAAATATATCTCGATAAATTCGATCTTCTCAATTGGTATAGCGAATTTGTCGGGGAAGAATCCTATTTTGCAACTGCTGTTGACGCTCACTCAAACCATTATGAGTGCAATATGGAAATGTAGATGCCACCACAAGTTTAGGAACATAAAAATTGAGCCATTGGCAGTGATCAGGGTAATAATCAGAAAAATGAGAAATATTGTTACTTTAAAATATAAATATCATGTCCGTAGAAACACTGCGGTCATATTCTGTCAACTTTTTTGTATTAATAATGTGTTTCACCAAGTAGAGAATAGGAAACTAAAACTAAACATATGAGCTAAAATAATACACTGGCTCATAAATCAAAACTGAATGTTTAGTTAAAACTTCCTGTTCTCTGCGAAGTTTTTTACAACAAAAAAAATGTTACTTATGATTGAAAAATAACTGCCAGCCCTTATTTTATGAAGTATTACTATAACATATAGGTGTTATATGTAGAGATTGTAAATTGGCATTTTAATTTAATTAATAATATTTATTTTTTTCAACCTATTTATTTTTTCTTTAATATAGTCTTTCTTTTCAAAGTACTCTAATCTTATATCGAACGTTATCTTTTAATATGTATAAACTTTTTTTAAACCTTATTAATTTTTTGACATCTCTCCGCACAGCGACAAAAATTAAAAATAAATAAATAAAAAATACAAAAAATATAACCAAAAAACACAAAAAAATATAAAATCTAAAAACACAAAAAACAAAATATAAATAAATAAATAAAAACACTTGTAAACTATCTATATTAAATTTTTATAAAAAACATCTGAAAAACTTCTTGATTGTAATTGTAACATGAGATAGTATAAAATTATAAAAATGTATATAATTTATTGTTTTATATAGAAAAAAAAAAAAAAGTAAATATAAGTACACGTATGCAAAGTTATAAGTGTATAAATATATTTTGACTTCTACCCTGAT